GTCCTTTTTAAAGCTCAATTGTGGGTCCTGTTGAGGTCCCGTAAATATCAACATTGTATAAAGATCGATGCTCCTTATTTGTAAGTCACCGAAAGTGTTGTAAATGGTTGAATTTTACCATAAGTCAATCAACATAGTGAAAAGACCTTGCTCGTGTTAGAGAGTTTGGTAATGGAGGATGTAGATCATTGGTTTGGATCAAATCTCCACAATTATATCATTTGCATCCTCTCTTCCTTTTACTTATCATTTTCATATTTGCGCTTTTTATTTAAACTGATCTATTTAATCTTTACTTCCTTGAATTTAGATTAATTCTTCGAAAAAGTTTTAAAAACTAATTCACTCCCCTCTTGGTTTGTCATTCTTCAGTTATCACAAAGAATGTTGAAATCATTTTCTTCATGATCTGTAACATGTGCAGAATGGATTTTAACCAAATGCATATAATATGTGACGTGTGAAGAACGTCTTGTGACCAGTTGCATATGATTTATGACCTGCGCATAAAATTTGTGACATGTTCAGATTGCATGTGACCAAGTGTCTATGATCTGAGCCCTATGTGTTTGATATGTAACCTATGGCATGTGACCTAGTGCATATGATGTGTGATCTGTGCATATGTTTTGTGACCAGTCATCAACCTATTACATGTGAACATTGTCATGTGACATATATACATGTCATGTGCTGACGTACGTGGATATATAACTAGCATCAAACCTTAATACTCAACGACTACTCTAAACATACAAGCTTGTGCCATCGTGCTTTATTTCCTACTGAGAACTAACCAAGAAGGAAAGGCAGACTAATGTGATCATTTGCATTGTTAAACCTTTTCTTGTAAATGAAAATGAAGAATAAATTATTCTGATACAATTAGTTCTAGAGTATAGTTCACAAAATACAAAACATACATACTTATTCCCTGGTTTGTATCCTTTATGAAACAAATTATGAAATGCAGCCATGTCAGCATCTTTCGTGTGCCGTATAATGTTGGAAAACTACAACATTGTCTGCAGGCTTGTATATTTTCCCTAACTGGCAACGAATAGATACTATAGTATCCTTGCCGATCTAAGAACCCTCTTCACTGGCAATCCAGACATTGCTTTGGAAAGAGGTGATCCCTAGTAATATTAAACATCTCATGTAATTGTGTTCATGTGACACATTTGTAATCGTACAGATATCTTTTATCTATATATGGCGTACAAACTTGTTACATACTTCAGATGGTCACATACTACATACATCAAATATTAGAGATAGAAAGGGGAGTATGTAAAGTCAAACTTTACTTGATAAGAAAGCAGACATTGCTGACAACCCACATGTGACTTGTATGTGATCTATGACATATGAATTGCTATGACTTGTGTCATGTTTGTGATTTGTGACCTATAATGTAATTACGTAAAATGAGTTGTAAAAACCTTTTGATTGGCTTTTTCTGTTTCCTTGACAACATCAGATATTTCAGAGTCCACCTGTTGTTGTATGTCTTTGGATTTAAGCAAACCATACAGGTTGGGTAGCGCAAATTCAACGCCCATATCAAATGAGGGCTGTTGAATATTAAATGGGTATTCAAGATTATTCGCAAGGTCCATCTTACCCTTACCTTTCTTATCCACTTTTTTTCACATTCTTACCCTAAAAGTAAAACAAAATTTAAATCTCAAATGTCAACTATGGATCACGAAAAATGTTGGAAATATCTTGTACTTACTTTCTCCAGATTCTCAGAATCTCCAACAATATGGGCTTCAGTTTTCTCGCTAATTTTTGTTGGAGATATGGGCAATCACAGATTTTGACAAAAATTTCCCGTTTTACTTTACGTCCAACATGTTAGATCCGATTTCATCTCACAGTCGGATAATATTATTCATCATCCACTTTCAACGATAACATTTGTAACTTGACAATATCGAGCTACACATTCAACACCTTATTCTTCGATTGGAATTCAGATATTTGCCCACTGAACTCTTTTCTCAATTGTAAAAATACCTTGAAAATATGAACATATATCAATGACATGTAAAATGTAAAATTTGACATAAATCAAATATATGTGACCATTGCAAAATGACTTGTGACCGGTATCCCAAGACCTGTGACTTGTGCATATTGACTTGCGACCCTTAACCGCTATCATAATGCAAAATGTATCTATAAATCAATGACATATGATCTATGCAATATGATATATAACCTAATAAATTATACCCGTGACCTGTGCATATTTGTAATGCCTCGAAAATTTTCATAGAATATAATTTAAATTCTATGTGCTATATCTTGATATTTTGAAAGTTAGAGACTAAAATGATATATAGCAATTTCAATTTTATTTGAGTCATATATTTAGAATTTTGACCGAGTATGATAACTATATGAATTTTGGTCTCGTTGGATAGATTGAAATTAATTATGCACTTTAGGCTTGAGAAAAAGTTAATTTGGATTAACGGAGCCCAAGTTATCGAAGTCGAAAGAATTGGCCTTAAATTATATTTGATATTAAATGAATTTAATCCTATAAGGTGACACGTGTAGAGTTATTATAGACGTTTTAATTAAATTGTATATTATATTAGTTTTTCTTTTGATGTAATTGATAGGGTGCACGTGTATGAAAAGGTAAGTTTGTGAAGTGGTATGGTTAGTTGAAGACTTAATCAAGATTATATATTTTTTTTGAGATTCTTACCCACTCCAACACGTTTCCTACCCCCACACGTTTTCCCATTATTCACCACTCCTTAGAATCTAGGTTATTAATTGTCTATGTACCTTATGCTTGACTTGGTAGTAGAAACACAACAAAAAATAAACTTGAACGGCAACCAGCAGGCAGAAACGAAAATAGTTTGGACGTGATTTTGGGATTTTCAACTTTCAAGGATTTTTCTTAAATTGACAAGGTAGGAAAAGAAGTACAATTGTTTATCCCATTTAATCTTAGTTCTTCATGTTGATGAATTTCATGTTTATGAAAGTTAAAGATATGATATGATATTTTCATGATATGATGTTATGGCCATTCCGGTACAAATGCCATGATATGATATGATATGAGCTCTTACCGGTTTCTAAAGATATGATGACGGTATGATTTTTCTTGACGCATGATTTGGATAATTTTATTCGGGATTGCACCAAATGTTTATGTCCTACTTAGTATTCCCATATACTCACCCTTTTTTCTATATCTCACATGTTAGATCGGGTCGTTGGGCGTCGGGATTGCACCATATTTTTATGTCGTACTGAGTATTCCTATATACTCACCATTTTCCCTACTCCACACAGGTTAGATCGGGTCGTTGGTCGGGGGGCGATGAGGTGCAATCGTGGTGCCAGATATTTGGAATTAATAAATGGAATCCGGTGTAATATTTTGGAAAAAGACTTTATTTTAAGAGGAACGTTTGGTGGAGATCTAAACTAAAAATTGGGCCGTTACAATATTTTCCTATGACCTCATGTCAGAATGTAAAATATTATGTTGAAGTCAGTGAAATATAAGTACAGATGATATGCAGAACTAACATTAAACTAACAACTTACATCATCCGATAGGGGCCCATCTGAATGCGGTTCCAGCGGAGAATGAGCGTCAACTGACGGACCCTCATCCGTCATATAATGAACATCATATAAGGTCCTACCATCTTGGTGGGGGAGAACAAAATCGGTATGTCCAAGTCTACTATCGATTATCATGAGCAACGATGTAGATGATTTTAGACTAGAAGAGCTTGCCTTTCTACTTGGTATTGCGCGGTTACCTGAACTTTCCATTCTACCCTTATTTCTCTTTCCATCACGTGTCGCTCCGATTGAACTGGTTTGTTGTATCGCACCCCATTCAAGTACGGCATCATCATCTCAGCATTTGACGGGTCTTAAGTCACATATTTGAATCTGCTATTTTAAATACATTGAAAATGGAATGTCAACAATGAAACATTATACAAAACATTACATACTACACAAGTCAGATAAGTTTATAAAACTTTACATTTAGTTTGGAGAAGCAATCAGGTCCTTCCAACTTAGCAGCCGAGGGGTGCTCGTCTGCCATCCAATTCTTAATTCGGGGTGTACATTCTAGACATCCTTTTACCAACATTTCCATCAAAACTAGAAATCATCTTATATATTCGTACTTGTAATTCTACCAGTAGACCTCATAACTTGTAATGGGTTGTCGAGTTGTCCTCTTACCCAAACCCTCCATCAACGAATTAATGGTAATGTCAAATGGCGTCTTTCACCATGGGAACATGTCCATCACAAAACAATCTTCCACCAGTACGACCAAAAAGTGATCAACAACCTTTTTTATATTCTCTCAAAAATAGGTATGAAATAATGAAATAAAAAGCTCCAAGCATCACAACATCTTGATCTAGAAGGTGGCCTACAAAAAAAATGCATTCCTGACATCTTTATGGGTCACAATCTTAACTTGATTGAAGTATTGTTCTTCAAATGTGATGGACTTTTTTGAAGCTTATATGTGTTACAATTGCCGAAACATCTGAGGCCAACAAGTAAATAGAACTCCGGCGCGAGAATCTAACGAATAAGCCAGCTATATTAAACCACATCTCATTTTGATTGAACCACAATTTCATGACATTACAAGAAGTGCGATAAACATATATACTACAGTAAAAGGGCTTGGGTTTCGATTAGATTTGTTTTGAAGTTCATCAGAACACCGGGTTGTTGTAATTTTTCTAGGAAACCAACTGTCTTCTCGAATTATATACTTCCACACGTGCATTATTTGTTTAGATAAAAAGAACATTACATCAAATTTGGAATGGTACACAATTACAAGTTACATAAAGCATGGTATACAATCAGGTCAATCAAGTCACATATATAACAAATCTAATCACAACTTCTGATTGTCAACACAATGTCACATAAGGGTTCAAGCTAAAATCAAATGAAAGTTTGGTAAAAAAATGGATGGGCAGGTCACAGCCGAAGAAATTTAGGTCACAGTACATTTCTAAATCATATAACTATCAATTCTAAATACATCCAAATGATACATTTCTTTTATGCACACAATTCATATTGATCATAAGTTCAAACAAAATTGGTCACATATGGATTGACAAATCACAAATGGTGAAATTTAGGTTACAACTCATTACTAAATCAAACAACATCAATTTCTAGAAAACTACACTTTCAAATAACAACCCTCACCCAATTCATTCGCTACTAAATTGAATCAAACATGGGTTACAACTATTGAACACAATGGCAATATATGTTACCCAGGGGCGGACCTGGAGGGTGGTCTGGGGGACAAGTGCCCTACCCAAATTTTGAAATCTTTTTTTTTAATTAATATATAAAGGAAAAAAAATATTGGGAAAATATTCAAATCCCTAATTCCCGTCTCCACTCCTCTCCACGCTGTGATGCCATCGTCGTCCTTCTCTCACACAGTCACTTATACCTCTGACCTCACCAGCACCAGTCCACTATCTATCCCGTCCGGTCCGAGACTCCTCTCCTATATGGTCATCTCCAATCCTCTCCGTTTTGATCTCTGCCCAAGCAGCCGCTCTGCCCAACTCCAGTCGACCAGTCTCCAAGTACACTTCCAAGCTCCGAGGACAGAGGTAATTTATTGTATTGATTGTTAATTTTGTGATTGAGATTTTTTGGTTTTTCCACTGTTTTTTCCTCTCAAAATGAAATTAATTGGGGTTATATTATTGATTGAATGATTGTTGAGTGTTAACTGCATTTAGGGATTGAAAGTTAGCTAATTAGCCAGTTAGGGATTTACCGATTTAGGAAGATTGTAAGTTTATCTGTCTTTGAATTAGGATTTAGGAAGATACCCAAAAACTAGCGCTCACCATGATAGCAAGATTGCCTCACCCAGGTAGATTTCTTTGCCCAGGTTTAATTGCACTCCTTTTAATGTGATGAAGATGAATCTTATGACTATTCCAACTTGTTGCTTCTATTTTGGCTTCAGGGTGCTCTTGATAATGCTGATGTCTCTTCCTTACCTGAGAGGCCCTCAGAGCTTCCATGTGCGGTATGATATTAGATTTTTCTCATGAGTGCATTGCGTTATAGAACTGATTATTAAAATTCATTTGATTGAACCAGTTCTATATGAAGACTGGAAAGTGTAAATTCAGCGTATCCTGCAAATTTCATCACCCTAAAGGCGTGGAAGTGCAATCAGCTGGAGAACAATATGCCACTGTGCTCCAGAATGAAATATCTGAAGATTCAAAGCCAGTGCAGCCACTTTATACCCCAGCATTGTTGCATAACACCAAAGGTCTTCCTATCAGACCGATAATTTTTATCTTAATATTGTGCTTATTAAAATTATGATCCATTGATATTATAAATAAACTTCTGAAATTTGAATGACCTGATGGGCACCTCATTGAATGTTCAGTAAGTCTCTTGGCAAGTTTGTTATGATTTTTAGGAGTATCTTAGTTTAAGCAGATGTTTTATTCATCATCTTTGGGCAAAAATCACCCTTGCAGCTTCAAATTTCTCCATTTTGTTGCTGATAGCCATGAACTAGGAATTTAATACACAAGCATTATACTAATTAATAGGCCTTTGTGTATACTTTCTTATATGCTGGTATATATTGCAGAGTCCTTAAAATGTTGACTTTTCAAACTAATCACGAATTGTTCGTCTCTTTTATAAATGATCTCTCAATCCCCATCCTCAGGCAAGGCAAGAGAACAAAAATTTTCCCCTATGCACAACTTCACTTCCCTAATACTCTACGTTTTCATTGTTTCGTGAGGTAATCTTGCTATCATGGTGAGCGCGAGTTTTTGGGTATTTGAATTAGGATTTAGGAATATCTTTGACTTTAAATTTTTCGTCACTTTTTAAAAGTTTGATTGTGCCCCCCTGTTTAAAAAGTCTGCATCCGCCCCCCGATGTTACCCATCAATTTTGACTTCCATAAATAGACTTCAAATAAAAAAAGGAAAAAAAATTAAAAATACCTTGTTTGATTTCAAATTTGCGACTGAACCAGAAGTTTTGTATCTTTTTCATGGAGATTGTTTCAGTATGTCCTCTTCCTTTCTTTTACCTCTTCTATTTGGGGCCTTATCTACCTTCTTTCCCCGATTTTATCTCAATCGAACCATTTTGCGAGGGTTTTAGAGTCAATAGTTCTCACAGAGGAAAATAGAGAATATGATGACGTGTATATACTAGCAATAGCATGTACTGTTGAAGGCGACAACGAGCTCACTGGAGGTATTATCGGTGACGGCGGAACGAGAATGTGATTTTCGTGCGATCGTGCAAGAAAGGAGATTGTAAGTGGGATGAAGGTGTTTTTGAAAAATAAGGAAATGAAGATGTTTTCCAATTTCAAATCACCTAAATTACGGGATAAACTCGTAAATTATTCATGGCGTGTTCGCTAGAGATTAAAATCGAATTAAAATTGAAAAACTAATCGTTATTGCTGACTTTTATTAGACGAGTGGGACACAATAACGACTATATTTTCAATTTTAATTGAATTTTAATCTTTACGAAACGAGCTCTTAATATTTAATAATACATATTAAACACCTAATTTTTGAATAATTAAACCTTAAACCTGATTCTAGAATTCTAATCTATAATATATTAAATATCTAGAATATATTAAATATTGCATCAAGTGAGAATCATTTTGTTGACGATTTTAGTCTCACTACAATTTAATTATTTCAATAATACCCTATCTTTCATTTTTCATTTTTCAATTTATATTTAATTAAATATTAAATATTAAACATGCACGCAAATAAATAATTGAATTGTATGAGAACAATCAAATCGATTCATGTACATTGAATTTAATTAATTTGAATCATTGAATATAGAAAAAGAATAATGTAATACATTTAAACAAATGGGGTGTAAGTGAACCAACATGAAATTTAATTAATTTGAATTAATACATATAGAAAAATAATAATTTGTACACATTTAGACAAATGGTGTCATAGTTATATCATAAATTAAATGAATAATATTGAAATTAAATAAGTGTACATGAACTTGAATAATTTATCTATTCTTATAATAATTGAATAACTGCCAAATTATATGATCTTTAATAATTTATATATTCCTATAATAATTTATGATAAAAAATGAATAATCTTAAAAATAAATATGTATTCATGAACTTGAATAATTTATTTACTCCTAAAATAATTGAATAGTTTCCAAAATATGTGTACATGAACTTGATGACTTAATGTTATATTTAATATATCCATAAATAAATGTTAATTACTATACATGCACATACATAAATAATTGAATTGTAACATTTATAGAGTAATTGAACAGCTCCCAAAATATATAAAGTGTACATGCATAAATTTGAAAAATTAATTGATTGAATTATAGTACGATATATATAAATTAATGTTAATTATTATCATACACGTAAATAATAATTGAATTGTATAAAAAGTTCATTTCACATAATCAATTTTTTTAAACTATTTTTTATATTTACCGATTTTCAAATATCATTTTTATAGTGTTTATAAAACATTTCAAAATAGCGTGCAATGCACGTTTAGCTGTTACTAGTATTATAAAAGCGACTGCAATGTATTTTTCACTTAGGGTCCGTTTGATAAGGAAAAGTGGAAAATAATTCAAATTTCATATTAGTTGGAAAATAAAAACTCACCAAACCTACATGAATTTGTTTTCCATGAAAATAAAGAAAATGCAATTTAAAGTGATTGTACCTTGGAATTCGATTTTCATTTCCATGTTGCAACCAAACGATTAAAGTGAAATTCGTTTTCCTCGGATGTAACATTTTCCATGGAAAATATGGCAATCAAACATGGCCTTAATATTTTTTCTTCCTTGTTTCAATGTGGGATTATTTAATATTACAAACAAACACCCTTCAAGCCTTTCAAGTTTTTAACGCCTTTTGGAAATATTAAGGAATGAAGTGTTATTTTTAGCCCATATTTGGTAACTATAATTTCAAAAAAAAAAAACCCATAAAATTTTCAACAACACATTCTCACAATAAAATATTTTTCACGTAAATTCAAAAAAAATTCCTATATTTTGACCACATTCTTAAAAAAATTATTATTCAAAACTCATTCTTCCAAAAAAAAAAATGACTATCAAACTGGGCTTATTTGAAAATTGTATAAGAAAATTTGTTTATCAAAATAAAATATTCATAATCATTGACTATAGTAGTCATCATGTGTGACAACTTTTTATTTGATACATTAATTTTCTATTGTCTCAAATATCAAATTAATGTCTCAATGAATAAGTTGTCACGTAAGGATGAATATTGCAATCGCGTATAATTATGAATAACATTACTCAATAGATAAAGTGAGAGGTGAGAGAAACAGTATTTAAATGATACATATTAGAATGAAATATTGTTAATGAAAATATCCTAAATTAACTAGTTTTTCTTAAATTTCATTCTTAATATTTTGAAAAAATAAAATAATATACTAATATTAAATACATCTTATTTTTGAAATATTTTTGTAAATTTTTTATAAGTGAAATTGTATGATTAAAACATTGTATTTGTATATTTTTCCCAAGTAAAAAAGCTCGTCAGCCTCGTAATAAGTAGAGCTAGACCTAAAGATTAAGAATAACGTTATTTAGCCTTCAATGGGAATAACATCAGTCTATAGTGTTAGATGATAGATTAAATGAAAAGTTAAATTAAATAACTCATTTAATTTCAATTGTCATTTAATATTATATTAGAATCACATAGGGTGATGATTTCAATTGGAGCTAAATAACATTGTTTAAATATTACTAGCCTAACAGTCAAATCTCCATCAAATATTTATGAGATTTGCTATAAGTCAAAATTCCTGTACTTACAGAATAGACACAACAATTCGGGGGGAAACTTTTTTGTTTTCATTATTTTATACATGAGGTCCATTCTATGTGGGTGAGAATTCAAATTCCTGGTAAAATTCTGGTAAAAAAAATCTGTACTTCAATCATTTTTCAATATTTATAATGGAAGTTCTGAGAAAACAGTCAAATCCCCCATCAAATGTTTATAACGGAAGTTCCGAGAAAATTAATTTGTATTGTTACAACAACTATAATTATTTAATAAGGGAAGTTTTCAAGAGTAACCAAAAAGTATTGGTGGTTCAACAGGTATACGAAAGCCTTGTATAGAGGTTATTAACCAAACAATAAAAAATAAATAAATTAGGATTTGTCATCATACCATTTTAGGTTTTATATTTTTGTTAATATTTTGTTCTCACAACTCTAATGAATCGTGACAGGTAATAAAATGAATTTAAGAATATGGACAATCGTTTCTACGAAGACTACTACCTAACAGTTGGTTTGACTATTCCTAATTTCAATTCGATTAAGAACTTTTAATTCCATTTTCGTGATTTTTATTTTAAATATAATAAAACAATTAACCTTTTAATTCCATTTTTGTGATTTTTATTTTAAATATAATAAAACAATTAACATGTGCTTACGTGTATGATGATTTAAATGTTAGCATTCATGAGTTCATCATAACTATTCACTTAATCTCAATCACTAATTTCGCTAACAATTAATTATGTGTACCTGTTCAAATTCTTCTAAATTAATTGATTTACCGTTCAAACCAATTGTATCCAATTAAGTCAACCGCCATATCTATATATGAATTCGAATAAGCCTTAATCAAGAGTATTCAATCACTAAATAATTCAATTAATGACCACAACAGCCATAAAAACATAAATTCTACCATTTTATCCAAATTGCAAGTTTTTACTCCATCATATAAACCAATAACTCATGTTTTGGTATAATTATAGCTCACAAATCAATGATATAGTGATCGAATAATTAAAAACATTAAGAATGAAAGTAAAGATAATTCACAAACATCAATTGAAGATTAAAACTTCATAATTAAAATTAAGGTTTAAACTAGAATATAATTGTTCGTTCTAACTAATCGTTTAATTACACGGGAAAAAAAATATTTTTACATCAGTCCCTTTTCTTGTCTTTTCTTTTTATTGTGTCCTTCTGGTTTTATGATCTTTTCTTTGGTATTCGAAAGTAATTTTCACTTTACATTTATGTAATCTTCTTTCTCGGTAGATCGTTTCCTAAATATTGGTGATAACTATGATCGATTACTCAAAAATAGCTTCACATAACAATATATGTAAATTTTTCCTACAAATCATGGCTGGTGTGATGCCTTTTATTTTTTGGAATAAGTAATTGATCATATAACACTATACCTATACAAATGGTTGTAGAAGAAATGTGGGTTTATTTAGAAGCTTGTTTAGGAAAGACAACTTTGTATATATATATATATACACACACGTTACAGCTAAAAGACTAAAATCAGACGAAATGATTAAGAATGGTCGGAGGAGACAACCCTAGAGATTTTACAAGCCTTATTAGAGAAATAATTATAGGATTTGACCCCAGAAGAGATAGCACTTATGAACAAAATAGAGCCTAAGAAGAATTAGAAAAATTAAGTACTAGTAATATGAAGTACATACAAATATTTTTACTAGATTTAGAAAGAATATTAAGCACAACAAGATTAGCATTAGATATATCTATACTTGAAAGGTTATACCTAAAGATACCAACATCATGGAACGATAAAATTAGAAAGGATAATCAAAACCAATAAGAGATATGACCATTAGCGCTTCTAATAAATTGATAACTGATAAATTAAAAGAATATTGTATAGAAAAAGTAGCTAGAAAACAAATAAAGAAATTAAATTATTTTTTTGTTCACATTTGTATACACCACATACCTATGATTATAGGAAAAAGAAAAATTTACATTAAAAAAAAAATATAAAAAGCATAAAAGACAATATCAAGAAAGAAAAAGCTATAATATTAGATCAAGTAGAACATATTATAAAAATAAAAGACCCAAGCATAATAGATATGTTAAAGAAGCCAATAAATAAAAAGGATTGTAAATGTTATATATGTGGATACCCTAGACATTTCACTAATAAATGCCCCAATGAAAATAGAAGTAAAGAGAATATGACTAGATCTATGATAATCAATGAAATACAGTGTAACATTATAGAATTATCTGATAGTGAATCTTGTAGTTCGGTTATAGCATATACACACGAAAAATTAGACAATTTAGAGATAAGCAGTTTCGAAGATAGTTATAGTAGTTTAGAAGAATAAGATTTTTCAATTCTCGACATAAAAATGTGGAATAT